GGCCTTCTGGTCCTTTTAAAACAATACCACATAACGCTTCATCAATGGCACCCACCTTTCCTAATAGTCTCCTTCTTATTCCCTGCCAGTTTTATAAAACAAACTGGATGTGAACCATGTCACACGTTACTTTTATTGTGATGTCGCTGTTTAGTATTTATATTCAAGGTCAAGGATCTCATTACCATTTAAAAGGGAGTGGGAATGATTATGTAGCGTAGAAATATGAATATGTCTTTATGAAGGTTCTGAAACCTTTATGTACTTTGATTCAAATTCGGTTTATAGATGTATTTTAAATGTACATAATTAAATTTAAATTGATCTGTGATTCACTTCCATAGTTACACAACCCTAGTTTATTTACGTCAAGAACAAATCATAGTTTATTGAAGGATCTAATAATCTACAGTGTTTCTCAACGTATCGGTAGTTGTGGCCACCCAAAAATGCTGTAAAATTACTTGTGTTACCATAAGGCAATGCTTGAATGGTAAATTTTGACATTTCATTTATTTTACATAAGAAGGGCTTTATCAGACTTTAGAAAAATTAAATTTCAATGGAGATGGTTCTTCATACAAAGCTTAAATAGTATGAATATTTTATACATATTTAAAATAAAACTCTGCAAATCGACACTGCCATTTGCATCACATTCCTTCCAATTTGTTAAGATATTGTAGATGCGTCATATTGTGATTTATTTAAATAGTATTGAAAATATATTAAAATTAGCCGTCAATCACAATATAAGATAATTAAAAGATTAAAATATCATTTTACGTTCCTTATCGAGTACTCGATTTACATGTGATTGACGGCTAATTTTAATATATTTTTAATACTATTCCAATTTGTTGTTGAGAAACGCTGATTCTCACCCCTTCAATGATTACTTATATTCGTTATGAATGAAGTAGTTATTAACCCTTCAAGGAATAGGTATATTCATGCAAAAAAGTTGTAATTTGCATTAATCTAGTATCGTCCAAGTTGTTTTGCATATATAGTGGCACTACTCTCTCGTTACTGAAACTGGTAGTTACTTACCAGGTGGTCCAGGGGGACCTGGAGGTCCTTCAATGATTCCTGTTGGAAACTGATCACCATTTAGTGTTGTTGTGAGGCCTCGTTCTCCCTTATCACCCTTATCACCCTAAAAAGTGTCACAAAGATATTATATAAACCCTTTGGATTAATTTTTTTTTTATTTCTTCAGAAGATGGGAAGTGAACATGTTAATTTATATTTACTCTACTTTAGCTTCCGTAATTCTATAGACATGAATAATTTTCCTCAGTTAACTATGGCCCTTTGTCAGAGCAGGCAACTAATGTGACATTTCTAACATCTGTATAATTAGTTTTTATTTTACAAGTAATTGAAAGTTGTCTGACTTTCACTGGTATATAAAGTTCCAAATTTAATATGTATATTGGTAGACCAGAGAATTACCAGGTTTCAAAATTGTCTTCTGTAATTCTTGAAACATATGTCTAATTACAAATTTTGATAGTACTCCTCACACAGAACAAGAAATATAGTAAGAAGCTAGAATCAAAGTAGAGAAATTAAGTAATTTCTCATCTCAATTCTGTTGGAAACAGATGAAGAAGAACTTGTTAATACCAAATTATGTATGGGAGTTTCTTTAAAATTTCCAGTACAGTGTTGCACGTATCTTGCATCAGTTAGTGTGAAACTGCATCCCATCACACAAGGTGCTGAAAGTGGCCACACGCAGCACTCGTGCACGACTGGACGCAATCAGTGTTCCGGTCTGATGAACGTGCATTGTAATATGCCCACAGGAATGAATACAGTCTCCTGGAAAATGCTCTCTTTGAGGTCATCTACATTGAAAACCTCATTCATGTAGATCTTTTCCTTCAGCTGTTTC